GCACTGACATTTGTGTCGGACCTTGCAACAGTAACAAGAACCAGAACCTGTGGGTGGAGCCCATAGATTAATGAACCAAATGAGGCACACACAGCCCACAGCTTCTCCCAGATCCTAACTAGAAAGCAGATGAAATGGTTCTGCACAGGCAGGATCGGAACAATGTGGTAGTCATCAACATATCATTCCTAACAATTGGTGAAGAATAGCATTTAAAAACATCTCTACTCATTAGACCATGCAAACAGAGCTCTCTAGAGAACTGCAGGAACCTCAAATTAAGAGTTTAGAACGCAGGCTTTTAAAAGCTTCTAAAGCAAGAAATAAGAAAGAAAAGCTTGTTTTTGCGAGACTAACCCTGAGAAAATGAAAAGGGAGATGGGCCAAACGGACATGAAATGTGGACATTTAAACCATGATCCTCTGGGCCAACAATAGCAACAGTGTCGTTATGAAGCAGCCGGAGGATACACAATAAATACTAACACTTCAAACGCATCAAATTGCTGTTGTATCACAGTTTTTCCTGTTGCCCAGACCTCTGTTTGCAACTCCTTGGGGTCTTAGTAACCAGTAAATTTCAGCAAGCATTTCAGTGTAGTTGCACAGTCCAAGTCATTGAATGTGGTGTCAGAGGAACCAGGGGATGGGGGGTGGGGTGAGGTGGGTACATGTCAACACAGAGTTGACTGTTTCTGTGTGAGAAGATCCAGAGAGCTCCAAGACACGACTGAGCAAAGTTCTGAATTTGATGCTTTCTCAAAACTGTTCCAGCAATTCACTGTATTGGATTGTGGAGTGCCATACAGTATATACTGCCAGGACATACCACACAAGAAACCACAGTGCTTCTGTCAGCTGACCTCTCCCGTGCCCAATTTAACATCTATTAAAGATGTTAATCTGCAGCCAAAGTGCCATTAAATGTTTCATAAAAAGCAGAACTACAACTAAAATTCAATGAGAAAGGGAACATGACAGAGTGCACCACCGCCATGCAAAATGTTTACAGTGTTCCCTGCAACACTGCAGCAGTCATTAAAAAGCCATAAAGAATTGTACACACTCTTGAGTTTTACTTTAGTCGAAATACACCTAGATCATTTCCTTTTACTGCCTTCCATTTAAATTAAAACCACTGGTTTCATTAGTGGGATACAGACTAGATACTGTACAAGCATGTCAAACATGTTTGGGTACTTTTGGAATAAAAGAAAGAAAACTCTGTACTTCTACAAATAGATGGAAAAACTACTAAAATTCAAGCAATTAAATGACAAAGCTGATTTCTGAGTTGGAAAGGTTTTATGAAGAAATGCTTCCACAGATTAAAATGTATGCCACAGAACTCTATAACCGTTTCTGTAGGTAAGCAAGAACGTTATAAAAAAGCAAAGTCTAACTGCTTCAGAGATCTGGAAGAACTCAAGGCTTCTGATTTTGCTCCCAAACTTACAAACTAGCCATGCAGGTTTTAAAGACCTGGTACCAATGTCACTTCAAACACATAATAATTCAATTAAGCAATTAAAGACTCAGAAGATGTTGCAAGAACTACCAGCTATGGAACTATAGCTAAGCTTGGCAGGAACATCAACATAAAAAAATCCAGGGTGTATAGCCTACCTTTAAGACAACAACAAAGTGCACACGGACAAGTTTAATGCAGAATTTTAATTGCTCCCAAGTAGCATGGCTGTGCCTGCATCACAGGGTGGGCCTGCTTTAGCTATTCTGACATGAAACCTTCCTGAAGAAAAGAAATTCAGCTAAGTACCAAGATTCACACAGAAACGATACTTCACGGTTTTGTGTTACTGGGCACTGCTCCACTATTTAGCATGGCATCTATCCAGTCTCTGTGCAACCTACCCCAGACTTTGTTTTGCTCAATAATACTGCTTTAATACACTATCATAGTAATTTTGCTTGATATTAAATCGCAATGTTATTGGCACAATTATATGAAAACATACAATGGTTTTTCAGTCTAGAATACCTTGCAATTTCTGAAAGCCGTGCAGAATGAACCTTCAAGCTGATATATAAAATTGATCACCTCCTAATATCTTCAACAATGTACAAAAAAAATCACAAAAATAAAACTTGAGGAGATAAACCACGCTGTTCTCTCGTAGACGTTATGAGACAAAGATAGGGAGTGTGCATGACAGATCTTTAACTCATCCTTTATACAGTTAACAAGTAAATCTGTATTGTGACTGCAAAACACAGCCAACTGAAGATGATGCTTTTAAAACCTGAAAAGAATGTTCAACATCCTAGAAAAAGCTATTAAGAAAAAAAAATGTAAAACACTTGACTATCAGCTGGAATTACTACAAATTAAGCACATGCTATTCAAAGACTGAATGCTTTCTAAGGACTATATTTTTTTACAACGAAGGTATTATCTACTTTGTCTACATTTAAAATATATACCATATTTCAGTAAACTGAGAGGCATTGCATGTGTGAATGTTCAAGCAAAAATACTATCGGAAAAAAACTTAAAAGTGTTCAATTAACTTCACTTAAAGACGGTCAGTGAAAGTATAGGATACCATGTGGACAAATCCTCTGTAGTATTAGAATTATAGATTTATTTTGACAGTAAAATATTAAACTTTGCTCCATTCATCAATGCACAATTATCCTGAACTATGAAATATGATACTGCACCCAGTTCTTCAAAGTATTTAAACATATACTAAAAATGGGGCTTTTGGACATCTATAACTCCAATAACTGATTTATAAAGCTACTTCCCAACAATTAAAGTGTACACAATCGCCAGCATCAATATTAAGAAAAGCATAAGAAAAAACGCTCCCACACCTCTTTAGTAAGATATCTAAATAATATATACACTAAGTTGTAAAAAGCACAAAAAAGTAAACTGATTTACTGACAACCCATATAATTTTAGTACAACTTGGGAACAAGTTGCAATAAATCAGGCTTGGAGAAAAACAAAAAGTTTTTCTTAAATCAGCCTGGCACTTTGATGTATTCCTTCTTCCAGCATTTAAAACCACCCTTTCATGTTGTCTCAACAGAAATGTTGGCAAAAGTGTTGCATTTTTTGCCTTTCCAGATATTCTTCCCCAATAGCCAGAATCAAATACACTCCTTAACTGAATTTAAGAAAGCACTGACACAAAAGCAAAGGAATTTTTACTGTGACAAACAACAAATCTACCACAGATACAGAATGCTGTTGAGGACCATAATAGTACTGTTTGTGATGAAAGAGCTGTGAGCTAGCAAAGTTAGGATTGTATAAAACAAGTTTCAGAAATCAGACCTCCTTCCAGAAAGCTGCAATGTAATTGGGACGTTTCAAGCATTGCAATAGGGATGAAACTTATTTTAGAATATCTTTCCACTTTCACAACATTTGTGCTTTGGGCCATATTGCACTGAAAACAAGCAAACAAGCTCAGACTTAGCTTGTGTCCTTTATAAAAGGGGTTAAATTACAGTACTTATTTCTACATCTCTACCACTGTGCCTATTGGGGTTTTTTTGCATCACAACCCACATATATTCTACAGTGGTTGATCACTCTGACTAAGGTCTGCAAGTCATCGTTTCATGGTAAACAGTGCCATTTACCCAAAATCTGAAAGAGAAGAAATTCAGTAATGAGGCAAATTAAGTATATTAACGAAGCAGAGATTATTGGAAGAACTTCTTCAAAAATGTGGAAGGGATTCAATCTTTAATATAACGGAAGTTCAGTAAAAACCTGGGTTAAACTAAAGTTCTTAATTTCAGAGCTGTGAATCCTGGTGAACACAAAATCTTAATCAGTTTAGTAGATCTTTAATTCACTAAAATCTATAATTAAATACAAATTGAGCAGCTGAGTCATTCAATCATAATGGCCAATGCCTCCTGTAATTCCTTGATTTAAGGTGCACAGATAAAACTGGTCTGGATACCAAATTAAATACCACTTGGATGTTTTCGCATCAAGTGGTGTCTTTTTCGTTCATAAATTACCACTTTCAACCTATACATAAGCAAAGCAGCAGTCTAAGCCCAGGATCAATGCTTATTAATTTTTTATGTCACCCATTGCACTGAGGCTGGTAAAAAAAAAAGAACTCTGAACAACTTGATCAACTCTTTGCTTTTCTGGATTAGGCAAAAACCGTTCACTGATGTGGCTCATGCAGTTCTTCAGAAACCATTTACATGTGCAAACGCTGGATTTCGGTTGCAAACACGCCTACCCCGCAGATATATCTAGGTCTCTCCCACTACCCAGTCTTCCAAATATTTCATAGCATAAAACAGCACTGCACACACACACACGAAACGCTGAATAACCGGAACTACATTCATTAAGGTTTATTTTTTTTCAGATTTGGCTAAGGTTTAAACACAGATTCCTCCTTGTGAGCTACGATTTACTGTAACATGCTTAGTAAAATATAATTCCTCTTCCTCCAAAAGTTACCCTGCAATATCACAGCGATTATAAACTATCAGTATCGTCACTGCAACCCCCAAAATAAAGAACACAATGTTTAAGGGGGCTTATCATTTTGAGAAAGGCAAAGGATTCAGATGGTAGTAAACTGCTTGTACAGCTGATTATGTAACAAGACAGCCAATACCTAAGTTAAAAACTCATCTGATACGTATATTACTTGTGAAGTATATATATAAAAACATGTCAATGCGCTATTAACTCTTAAACGAAATTCACCTTTTCTTGATACGTAATCAGTAAATATCGACAGCCTATTGAGAAAGAAGATTAAATTATGAGCAGTAAAACACAACACCATAACCAGAAGTAACTTAAAACTCCCCAACAGTCCAGAACAGGCAATCTCTTGTTGAAACCCAGCCTTAATATTTTGTTTTTTCCCAGAGTCGGTATTCGACAAAATGAAACCCGAAAAGGCACAATAAAGCAACACCCAAGCAGTAAAGCGGTCTCGATATTTCCTTGACAAATTCAAAGCGGTGGCTCAAAGACGCACCGTGCCCTGTCTGCTCTCGGAGTAGTAGGCCTCTGACAGGCCTCATCCTTGCATCGGCCACCTTGATGACAGTGCAATCAGCACCTCAGTGGCCGGGAGTCCAGGGGTGGGGGGGGGGAGGCTCGGAAAAATCCACGATTTCACCCCCGTAGCGACATCCGAAGAGGCACTACCTGGGCCTTCTCCGAAAGCTCGCAGTTCGCTCGTTTCCGTGCTCTGCCTCCCAGCAGGGCCGGGGCTCTGCCGGGTTCGACCCGAAGGAGATTTATTTGGAGGCTCGTCCTTGCGCTTACTCGGCGCAGTCAGGCTCCGGCTAGTTACAGCCCGAGAGAGAGGGGGGTTGGGAAAAAAAAGTGGCAAATTTTCATGGCGGCCGCCATCATGCGCCTCTTCCAATGCATTTCAATACAAAACATGGCAACCCCCTCCGCCGAGCGCCGCCGTCTTCGTCCGTCTCCCTCTTTATGGCACCCATTTTTCCCCGCTTACCTTCATGTCGGGACATCCTACAGACGCTGACACAGCCCCCTCCTTGGGCTCCCTGGCACGGATCACACAAGAAGATGCCGCTTTTGAGAAGTGAAGCCGGGACTCGCTCTCTCTCGCCTCTTTTCTCATGAAGATGGATCCGGAGCACCCAGCTCTCTGCCTCCCCCTCGCAGTCTGTCACTGCTGTGCTGCCGGAGCGCTGGAGGACTCCGATCGAAACGCTAGAGGGCGCGCCTTGCCCCATGCTTCCCTACTGACCTGGACAGGGCGAGCTGGCTGCTCTTTACTGAACGAGTCCGGAGCAGCGCGGAACTGGCTACAATCTGTCATTTTTTTTAACAAAACTTTATTCAGTGAACTGAAAAATTACAAAGCACCAACAGCGCCGTACTTACATTTTTCAATAACATCAGAAAGTTTTAGTAGAAGTTGGTTAAAATGCACTCCTGAATTAAATTGCTACCCATGAATACATTGAAGAAAAATATATTTTATTGTCATTACACTTTATATTTTTATCTTTAAGAAATTCGTCTTACAAATTTAGATTTTTCAGTCTATGGAAGTCATTATGTATCAAGATTAATAATAACCCATAAATCCTTGTGAAAACTATTTTGTATGTTCTGTGTGCTTATATCTCTCAGGGACAGAAGTTTATTTTACCGCGTTGCGCGGATGAGTATTTTTTGTGTGCTTTTTTGTTCGTCTCCTTTACATAACATTGCTACGCAACACAAAAAAATATGATGATATGTCGCTTCTTTAAACTTTTTTTTATACACATACTGTATGCAATCGTATATTCTAAGACTCATCTCATACTTCCAGACCTTTTAATCAGTATTGTAATCCTAAAGCATGTAGCATAAATATCTACTATTTACATGAGCAACTCCTAGGCCCCATGTGAAAAAAAAACAACAACTTGTCGTACAGTATATGTTTGTGTTTGTCCTGTTTTAGAACATAAGCTTGTTTATCTAGCCTGTTTAAACTGGTAATAGTTAATTAATGCCCTGATTTCTTTCACGTTATCAGCTATAAAAAAACGTGGCTGAACTGCTTGTTCCATACAACCCTTTGGGTAAAGAAGTGCATCATGTTCTTGGTTTTAAATTGCTTCCATGTAATTTCCACATGTACCCACTAGTTCGGATTTCTGCTTGAAGGCTACTTGGTCTAGTAGTGGTAAGGCTGAGTATATCCAACTGGTTGTTCGTTGTAATTATTCATCAGATACCTTTATGCACTATGGCATAGTAGTGTGGTGATGGTCATTAGGGCCTCATGGCTCTAGAATTCTCTGCTCATTTATGGGCTGGGGTGCCTTCTGTGTGGAGTGTACATGTTCTCTGCATGGGTTTACTCCTGGTGCTTCAGTCTGTGTTCACCTCACAAAGACATGCTGATATGTGGGTTTGTTATTCTAAATCGCCTGCTCCACAAAGATATTTTCATGAAGACGCTCACATATTCATGGGCATCCTGTAGACTTCCCTTAATAACAGACCTTACTACAGCACCTTGTGGAAGGAAGTGGATTCCTTGTTGGTAAGAAATTCTAAACAGCTCATTTCTTGATACCCAAGAATTATAGTTCCTCCCATCTGATCATTGACACAAGTGCTTCAATATCGACCTGAAAGTAATAGAATTGTGCATGGAGACCTTTAATCAGTTCCTAGTAGGAATTTGTTTGTGTCCATGAACACGAGCTGAAGGAAACATACTTCCACCTTCCCATTGTAAAGCACTACTGGTACTGTACATCTCCATTTTGCTCTCAATGACTTAAGTACTTACATTTTTAACATAGGGTCCGCTTCTTTGCAGTGCAAGAAATTAAGAGCAATGAAATGAAAGAAAAGTTGTTTCAGGATTTAAGAAATGTCCTTTATTACTTGGATACAGCAGTGGAAGCCCATTGCTTGCCAAATTACCAGTGATGTGCATGTCACACCCTGAGCCATGTTGCCACCACTGATGCAGAGGAAGCTTTCATTTCCCCTGACTCAGTCAAGACCTCAAGAGCAATATCTGGAAAATGCCAGGCACCATGGAACAAATAGCAGCAGCACATCAGTGCCAGACCTGATCAGTGCAATCTTTGGGTGTTTCTTCTAGGTACAAAACATTACATGGTTGCACTCTGTCTACCATACCATGGGAAAACAGGAGTTACTGTTAAGAAGAAGAATCTAACTCTGTGTCTGTGATGGCCTTGGACTGTCATAATTTAAACCTGCTAAGACTAACTTCCTTTTCAGTTCAGTGTATCAGATCAATTTGCTTGTGGTGGCATGACGTCAGGCTTGTGAGTTCTACACACCCATCCGTTCATTTTCTGGCTGCTTTATCCAATACAGGGAAAGAGGGGAGGTGGAGCCTGTCTCAGAAGACAAACAGGCATAAAGCAAGTATTATTATGCAAGACACAAATATTAAAAAAAAAACATGACATCAGAGGGCACGCACAAACATAGACACGCACACACTCACACCAAGGCCAATTTCCCCAGAAGCTATTTAACCTACCAGTATGTCTTTGTAATGTAATCCGGAGCAGCCAGAGGAAACCCATGCAAAAACAGGCAGAGCATACACACACCAAGCAGACTGCGCCCTAGGAAATAAAGGAATACTAAGCAATACAATTTTAATCAGTTCTTGAAATTACCACCAGATGTCACTCTTTTCTGTAAAAATAACGGCTTTACTTTTTCTTTCTATGAGAGAGTTCTCCTATTAGTACTGGGTAAAACCCATCAATAGAACTGACAGAATAGGAAATACCACTACAGCTGCTGACACAATTAGGCATCATAGGAGACTCATGATCCCATCACAGTTATCAAGAACCCCTATAATTACTACACCTCTTCTCAATATTGCTGTGCTGCCCAACTTCAATTTGTGCATCAACATGGGTGAAATCCCACTGTATGCTGGCAAAGGTAAGTGTTTTCAGATTATTTGTGGTTTGGTGTCTCATTTAGCAATGAAAGAGCACACTGATAAAACTTAGCAAAGAATTACAGTGTTGGGGAACTTGGGTGTGGATATTAGGAGTTGGCTTCTACTTATCAGTGGTGATCTCTAGGCAAACATTTACTGTATGTTGAGCACATTGTTTAGGGCCCACCATCTCAATCATGTTCAACTACACACAGCAAGGCTCACTAAAGACCTGACACATCAACTGGGGATCAGCATGTACAGTAGTAACACATCACTGGATCTTAACACAAGCAAACATTCTTGCTCAATTTTTCTAGCTATAAGAATTAGCAATTTCTTTGTAATTATTGTAATTACCGGCAGTGTTTGTAACACCACTGGTTAGATTTCATAACTTCAGATACATTAGGAAATTACCTTTCTGAAAGTTTCTACAAACATTAAGGTGTAGACAGTACAACCACTCATTACGTGACCCACACAGCCTGTTGAACATTATATATAATTTCAAATCAGTTCTAAAACATTGTTAATATTGTGCAATTCCTTCAAATATAACCATTATTGTTTTTTAGGTTGGAAACATATTTTGGATGCTATTGCACATGTAAACTATTATAAAATTATATAATAAATTAATGGAGATGATGTTGTTGTACATAAATCATAAAATTTGAGCAATAATAAAATCTGAATGCATATTGTCAGTATGCATTTTCTGCAAAGGAGCAAGTAAAGTGAAAATAAAATTCTACTTCTTTTTTGCATGGAATAGTAAAAATAGAAAATATAAATTTGACACTTTATCATCTCATTTACTATAGACATGATTGCTGCTACTACTACTAACTTGAATAAATCTGTGTAATCACCGTAAAAAAATTAAATTAGTCAGTTTAATTTAATAACCACCGACTGAGCAAAATGATTTTAGCAAATGACATTTTTCAAATGAAAGGTCACTGTTCAAATTAGGACACTATTTCCTGTGCCTAAGACTAAACCAAAGAACAGAACATTAGAGAAAGATGAAAGTTTATCACAGTTTTTCAGGGTACATCATTTTTTTGTTCATCGCTAATTACATTGTGATTAGCCTTAGCTGCTTCCATAGCTGAAATCTCCATGAATAAGACTGATGTTCATTAAAGGCACTTAATGTGGCTCTTGGGTCTTGGTTACATTTCAAATGGTGTAACTGGCAGTAAATCATTTTGGAAATACCACTACAGTTCTAACTGAGAAGTCCAATCCTAGCTTTTAATCAATATAATGCAGTGCTTTCATTTTCAGCAGCAACAGTCAAAGCTGTTCTTAAATGTTTTTTATGCATTGATAATGTAGTAATATACAGTGCCTTGCGAAAGTATTCGGCCCCCTTGAACTTTTCAACCTTTTGCCACATTTCAGGCTTCAAACATAAAGATATTAATTTTTTATTTTATGTGAAGAATCACCAACAAGTGGGACACAATTGTGAAGTGGAACGAAATCTATTGGATTTTTGAAACTTTTTTAACTAATAAAAAAATGAAAAGTGGGGCGTGCAAAATTATTCGGCCCCCTTGCGTTAATACTTTGTAGAGCCACCTTTTGCTGCGATTACAGCTGCAAGTCGCTTGGGGTATGTCTCTATCAGTTTTGCACATCGAGAGACTGAAATTCTTGCCCATTCTTCCTTGCAAAACAGCTCGAGCTCAGTGAGGTTGGATGGAGAGCGTTTGTGAACAGCAGTTTTCAGCTCTTTCCACAGATTCTCGATTGGATTCAGGTCTGGACTTTGACTTGGCCATTCAAACACCTGGATACGTTTATTTGTGAACCATTCCTTTTTAGATTTTGCTGTATGTTTGGGATCATTGTCTTGTTGGAAGATAA